CCTCGGCACACATGCTGCATACCCCAAGAAAGAAAAGTCCTCACCTGCTTTGAGCACTGTGTTGCTGTCAGAAAATTTTAAACGTTTCTCTGGTTCTGCAAGAAATGCCAGTGAATGAAAAGGACAATCTAGGAGATAATGGAGATGATTAGAGCTTCTTGCCAGGCATTTGCTACCAAGGAGATGAAATAAAACATTTAATTACTTAGAGACATTTAAAGAGCAATTGGTAGTAGGCACTTTCTTGTTCCATGCATTTGAAATCTTAGCTAGCTTAGATTTTGCATCAAAGAATTTTGATTTTTTTCCTTCTGGGTCTGATAATAAAAACAAGAGGGTCGTTAACATAAAGTATTTGAAAAAGTTCTTTTTACGCCCCTTGTCCCTGTTACTTCATTGCTTGAACAGAAAATCATAAATGCCATATTCGAGTCACACTGAATTTCTTGAACATTTGAATTGCATGACTGCTGTGGTATTATGTCACTCTGAAATGGATATTCACTGAGGATGTGATCTGCATTTATCTTTCCAGGAAAGAAACAAAAACTGAATTTTTAATTCTTAAAAGCAAGTAACTTTAATGGCACTCTGATATGTATTTTTGCCCAGGTTTTTTTTTACTGATTTTTTCATAAGTACATGTGTTTTCCTGCAGTGGAAATCTTTCTACTGAAGAATAGCACGATATGCTACCCAAAATATGCCATCTTGGCAAAGGATTACTTTGAGCTAAAGGCACTTGAGAAACAACAGATGTAAGAAGGGCACTGTGGTCCCTTTTGTTCCTGAAAACAGGAAATAAACACTCCATGTACAGCATGTCTTCCTGCACCAGAAGAGAAACCTCATCCCATGCGGAGTGGTAGGCCAGAGAATTTTGCACAAACTTGTTAATATAGCTACTTTTCTGTCCACATATTGTCACTTTTCCACAGTTACCTCTCTGTTCACATAGGAAAACATTTAGGTTGTTTGGGTCTTCCTCTGAGGGCTCCCCTGTCATGTAAAACGTTTATTACGTTTGTGTGCTTTTCCCCTCTTAATCTGTGAGTTTAATTCTTGGGCCCAGCCAGGACCCTAAACAGTAATGTTCTGCCTTCCTTACATCACGTACCACTTTGGGTAGTCTTCAGATATTTTTCTTAACATAAACACTTTAGAGAGAAGTAAACTTGTTAGCGACGTGTGCTGGCACATGCCTGTAAGACCAACGTTCCAGGAGGCTGAAGCAGGAGGACTGCAAGTATGAGCCTAACTAACCTGGGCAACTTGGTGGCTTCCGGAGACACGGTCAAAAAAAATGGGCAAGATGGTGGTGTGGAGCAGTAGCTCAGTGTGAAGGCCCAGTAACCCAGTACCCCCACCCCCAAATGCGGTCAAGTACCCTGCCAAGCCCTGGGGTATGCGGGTCCCTAAGTACTTGGCAGACCTGTCTTTCTCAGACCCCTGAAGCAAGGATTAGCACTCTGATTTTATTGACTGGGACACTGAAATGTGCCAATCAGCCTAGGGTTCCTTTACTTGATTAAGATGGAAATCACGAATTGGCAAAGTGTATCTCTATCAGTCCTGATGTCACCACATGACACCAGGTAATGCGGGATGCTAACGGCGCACGGGACCAGCTGCTAGGCAGTGTAGCAGCTGGCTGCCCTGTACTGCGGCTGCACCATGGATTCGGCCTCTGCTCTTCATGGGCTGCTGGTCTCCGGAGCTCCACAGTGCTAACTGCACTGTGTGATTTCTGCTTCTTTGGAAATGACAACTCCCTCCAGGCTACTCAGGATAAATGTTTTAAGAACATTTACAGGATACAAGCAGGTTTATGGGAGCCCCAAAGTGAATGTTCAGTAGGGCCCCTGCTGCAGCACAGGAGTGGCCAGTACCCTGAAGGGAGGCCCCCCCCCTCAAACTGAAGCCTGAGAACAGGTCAGCGCTGCTTATATAGCAGCTGCAAGCCTGGAGGAAGGGCCCAAAGCAGGGAATCTTCTGGAAGGCTTGCTGTGAATACTGGCTATGCAAATAAGGGGCCCAGGTCCCTCTGCTTCTGACCTTAGCCACTCCAGGGGCCCCTCTCCATTCTAAAGAACGCAGCAGTGTGGTGAGGAGAAGGGCTGCACTGCCTCCTTGGCCACACCTACAGGAGTGGAGAAAGGGGATCTGCTAGCCAGGGGCGCACTAAAGCAAAGGGGTGCCAGGGGGACCTCTGGGGTGCCAGGGGACCACGGGGAGTGAGGTGGAGGGACAGACAGCCCTGCCTCGGGTGCTTCTCCTTTGTCTGTGTCAGCTGCTTTCCCAGTGTCAAACCAGTTTCTCATCTAATCCATCTGATTTGCAAGACCTTACTTTTTCTAGGATATCATGTCTGTGTTCTGTGTGTCTGTATCTCTACCTGTGTGAAGAGAAAGAAAATAAATGCTCCGCGCACATGCTATGGTGATTAAATGAAGTAATTCCTACAAATCCCTCGGAGTAATGTATAACCCATGCTCACTTTGTCGAACCCTCAGCTCTTATTTATACTTGTAGTTTTACTAACACATCTATCCTAACACGCACGGCTCCCGGCGTCAACCTGAGGTGGAGGGTGGGTTGGGATGACTTTCCTAGCAGTGTTTAAATTTCATGTTACTACGATCAGTTTATGTCTATCTTCATGCTTGCATTCTTCTCAGCAGAGTATAGAGAGGTGCGCTCTGACTTAGAGCTGATTTTTTAAAAGTCTTTTTTCATTAATGGAAATCTACTAGGTCGAGATGCTCCTGAAAGACACTGCTCATTTCCACATATCTGGGTAGCCTGACAGGGGGTTGCTTGGTAGACTATGTAAATAGCATAACAGGGAAGAAACCAGTGAAAATAACTGCTTAATTGTTGACAACAGCTTAGTCTTAGTTTTCACCTCTCTCCTATCCTTTGGTTGCTGCAAATATTTGTCTCAAGTTAGAATGACCTTCTGAATGGAACTTTTGAAGAACGTTAGACCATAGGAGGCTTCTCTGAACTTCAGTGCAAATTTTAATTGGCAAGCAAATTGAAGCAGATCAAATTGTATTGTTATAAGAAAAATGAATGTTGTAGTGGTGTATTTTCTGAGGAGGCCTCCGTCTTAGACTGTTTTGTGTTGCTATATAATACAGAATTTTACGTGGCTCATTGTTACAGAAGCCAGCAAGTTCAAGATTAAGAGACTGCTTTGGGTGTGGGCCTCTTTTGGTATTACATGGCAGGTGTCACATGCCAACAGAGGACGCTTGAAAGACGGAAATTAACCTTCTATAACAGACTTCCTCACTCCAGATTCCCCACCCCAGAGATGACAGTAATCCACTTACAGTGGCAGAGCCTTTATGATGGCGTCACCTCTTTTATGTCCCACTTCCCACCATTTTTACACTGGGGATTCAATTTCCAACACATGAACTTTCAGGAAGTCATTCAAAGGATTGACAGCTTCTGGCCTGAAGGCTGATGCTCCAGAATGTACTGTTGGATCTAATGTGGCCCAGGATATTATTACTCCTAATGTAGAAGATTTCAGCATGCGTGCATCACAACATGAATGTGATCTTGCATTAGGCATTGCAGTTCTGGTGCCATTATCAGACTGCATTTTCATATTGAATTACAAACAAAAATTTTATGCTACTTACATTTAATGAAATTTTAATAAGGTTGTGTTTTGATGTTATTATTCAAATAATGTATTCTGAATTGCTTTCCTTTGAATATATTTGCATTAAAGAGGAAATCAATTTGATTTAATTCTTTGAGGAGTTTACCCACTTTCCGGGTAGCTTTAAAAAGAGAAATTCAGTTTCTTTGTAAGGCAGAAATGGAGAAGAAACACATTGGGCCCGAGATCTGTAAAAGTAATGGCAGCAGATTGCTGATGTTCGAGTTAATGAAATGACTCACTTTGGGTGTTAGAATTGTACAATTAAAAATACATACACACACTGCACACATTATGGATTGTAAAGGATGAAACCTGTTTTATTGAGCCCTCCGGCTGATATATTAAGAAGTCGAAAGGATCCACATTATTGCAACTCTTGATCATTGATGCTCAAAATTAAATGGTCATCTCGAGAACACAGTTTTCTAGTTGCAGTGTTCCTTAACAGCGTTTCTGTTAAAATTCTATTTGCGGGTCCACTGAGCCAGTGACTTGGAAAGGATAACTCATTTGACCAGTGAGGGCCTCTTACATACATGCAAGAAGTTGTTTCGGTGTATGTTTTGTGTGGTAGTCTGCGCGTACTCATCTAGCTGATGAAGCTTAATGCAGAAAAAATAAATACAAAAACAGAACAAGCCTGTCTTACAGGCTCAAAGCAGTGGCAGGGAGATTAACTGGTTTTAATGGTCAGAGTGTACGAATTTGAGCGAGGGAAACCACAGAATACTTAAGTGCCTTTCTTGACCACATATACAAAACTAAATGCCGTTTCTTTACCTTCCACGGGCTTAGGTTCTTTATCTTTCTCCCACAATTACTGAGTTCCCCCCATTTACAAATATTCCTTATTTTAAGACGCTTATACGGCCTAAAAGTTTGCCTCAGCTTGTATGGCCCCAAACTTACCAGTGGGCCTGTTTAGGAATTTTGGTTTCTCTTTATGTGCAATGCTCTGATAAGAACATGCAAATTATTAAAATGATTGCTTAAGGCGGGGCTGGAGGCGCTGACGCTGACATCCCAACCTTAAGGATCGCCCTGATTTAAAGGCCAGCCTGGGCGACATGGTTTCAGGACCGGCCTGAACTACACTGCGACACCGTGTCTTAAAACAAAAAACAAGAAATGTTGCTGGTAGCCGGGGTTGGGGGTTACAAGTACCGCCGCTTCTCCCCGCACACCACGCGCGGCCCATCTCCCGTCCCCACCCGAGCAGTCGCTCAGCCCGCGGCCTCTGTGACGCAACGCGCGACCCTTGTGACGCAATGAGCGGGCTCCGCCCACGCGTCGCACGGCTCTGGCGCGCAGAGCGTACTGCGCAGGCGCGCTGACGCCGTTCCGCAACTCTAACCGTTAGAGTGAGCGAGCGTCTTCTCCGTGGCGTTGGCGCGAACGCCGCGTCCCCGCCGCTCCGGGGCATGCTGCAGAGGCGTCGTGGCCGGCCCAGCTCCCACGCGGTGGAGGACCGCGATGGGGACTGCGACGGAGACTCCGAGACGCCGAGCACGTCCCGCGGGCCGGGCGGCGCGTCCCAGGGCGCTCGCCGGTCCCAGGCCTCCCCCGGTGTGGGGCCGCGGACCCAGAAGCAGCTGGAGCTGAAGGTGGCCGAACTGGTGCAGTTCTTGCTAATCAAGGACCAGAGGAAGATCCCTATCAAGCGCATCGATATCATGAAACACGTGGTGGGAGACTACAAGGACATCTTCCCGGACCTGCTCAGGCTGGCCGCCGAGCGCCTGCAGTACGTGTTCGGGTACAAGCTGGTGGAGCTGGAGCCCAAGAGCAACACCTACATCCTGGTCAACACCCTGGAGCCCGTGGAGGAGGACGCTGAGGTGAGGGGCGACCAGGGCACGCCCACCTCGGGGCTGCTGATGATTGTCCTGGGACTCATCTTCATGAAGGGCAACACCGTCAAGGAGACGGAGGTCTGGGACTTCCTGCGGCGGTTGGGGGTGTACCCCACCAAGAAGCATTTAGTCTTCGGGGATCCCAAGAAACTTATTACCGAAGACTTCGTGCGGCAGCGTTATCTGGAGTACCGGCGGATACCGCACACGGATCCTGTGGACTATGAACTTCAGTGGGGCCCGCGGACCAAGCTAGAAACCAGCAAGATGAAAGTTCTTAAGTTTGTGGCCAAAGTCCATAATCAGGACCCCAAGGACTGGCCAGCGCAGTACTGCGAGGCCTTGGCAGATGAAGAGAACAGAACCAGGCCCCCTGGGCCCAGCGGCCCATCCCAGTCCTCCTGAAAGCCGCAGTGGACTCCCAGGGACTCCTGGAACCAGCGTCTGCAAGCAGAAGGCTTGAAAGGACCGGGGACCTGGGGACAGGACGGAGGGAGCGCGTTGGGGCAGTGCTTGGATGGGTATAGCCTGACGATGTTTGGTAAAGTTGGGGATTGTTTTGATCCTGTTGTTTGGTTACAGATTTTCACTTATAAACAGGAACATTTTGTTTTATTACCTTCGGCATAAACTGTTTTCTAGCTTTGTAAAACTAACTGGAAAACTGTATTGTGGTTGACATTTAAGGAAGCATATAATGTTTTGGTGCCAGCAAGTAAAAGCAGAAGAGGCTATTATGTGGTCTGTTATTCCAGTTCGTAAGGAAAAGTCTTTATAAAATTAAAAGTGTAATTGCCTGTGTCTCTTCCACCTGAACACATCTGTTTTATTTTTATATGTTTCCTACTTTGACAACTATTATGCATGGTTCCAAGCAATGTGCAGAATGTATTTTCTCTGAGTAATAAATTTTTATATCATAGTTATTAGTCATTTCTACTGCTACCTCTTGGTTCCATTTAGGTGTTTTGTTTTTTGCTGCTATAGTTATAATAAACACTGTATTTTTATAGTCAACCATTTCATGTTTTTTAATTGTGAACCTTAAGGACATTTTGTAGCTCAAACCAGCATCCTAAAAAATAAAATGCTCTGTGGAAGTTACTTTTTAAGTTGGGTCGTGATGTAAAATATTTTTCACTGCAGGTCTCCAAAAAGTTTACAGCAAAATGATTGCCATGCCTACTTGGGAATCAGACTGTCTTGAGTATACAGGTCCTAGCTGTATTATAGAGACATTATTAACCTGTAACATGGGTTAGGGGTAAAGAAGTTTATGTAAAGTTCTCATGGAAATTCCTAGTGGAGGATTTTAGTTGTTACTTCATTCCTTAAAATTTAAAAAATCCTGTATTTTCCTTGGTCTGGAGCTATTTTTTCTAAATTATTCTTAGAAGAGGAATTACTGATTCAAAAGTTATAACCACATTTTTCTCATTTGGCTCTATGATATAGTTTTATGGAGAAAGAATGGAAAATACAGTGATTACCAGGTTACACGGAACAGTAAGAACTGGAAAGTTAGACATGAGATCACCCTGAGCATGGAGAACTTCACTGTCCAGTACAGCCAAGGGCTGTGTGTTGTGCTCCTGTAACTGAATTTAAATTATGACCCTTGCTGATTTGTCGGCATTGTCATTTGGGGGTAGGTTTTAAGCTCTCCAAATCTCAAGTTCTGTGTCTATGAAATTGTGAAAAATAACTGTCAGAGTTCGTTACGTGGGTTAAATGACCAGAAGAAAGAGTTCATAATCTCATTGAGTTTTTCCATAACAGCTAGCACAAAGCCGCTGCCTCTATGTGGAGAGTCAATGCGTGTTTTATTCAGTGAACAAACACTGTTTTGGGAGAAAGCACTGCAAATTAAGCACAATGAATGAAATTCTTTTGGTTAGGAAAAAAGAGAAAGTGAACTTCATCAGTGTACTGATGTCATGTGGAAGAGCTTGTGCTGGGTCTACAAGAATGTGAGGTTTTAGGTTTTTATTCCGTTGGATTGGGTTTTGCATTTTGTTCATGGAATATAGTTGGTCCTGTGGTCATTTCTCACTTTTCTCTTTAGCTCAGTGTATTAACTCTCTGTACCTGCCTGCCTTCTTGTGTGTTGATTTTTCATTTCTGGTGAAAATTATTAGCCAGCACCCGTTTCCAGGGGTATCTGAAGCAGACACCACCTGGTTTTTTCAGAGATTGTATGAGTCACTTTCTAGTCACTGGACAAAATACCTGACACCTGCACATTAAGGGAGAAGCTTATTTTGGCTCATGATTTCAGAGGATTCAGTGCATGGTGGGCTCCAAGGCAGAATGGTGTGATGGGAGAGCATAGTTGGGGATGCTGGGCTGCTCACTGCAGGGCAGCCAGGATGCAGGGTGAAAAAGGGAAGATGCGTAACAGTACCACACCCTGGTCATTCCCCCATCTCCAGCCAGGGCCTCCTAACAACATGCGCAGCTCCTGGGCTCGTCATGGGTGAGTCAGCTGATGAGTGTAGTGTCCCCATGATCCAGTCACCTTCCAGACATGAAAATTTGGGGTGACATTTTAGATCTAAATTGTAGCAGGGATGGGAACAACCATTCACATCTTTTGTTTCAGATTTTAAAATACAAAGCATAGACCGAATCATACGTTTAAACCTTTTTTTCCTTATTCTTTTGGAAGTAGCAAGTCTTTGGATACCACACCATCATATGAATTCATGATTGTACAATATATGTGTGTATAATAACCTACAGTTTTATTTTGAATGCTTTACGACTTATATAAGTGTGGTGTATGCTTTTTCAGTTTGTGTTTACCTAATTATTACAATTTTGGGGATTTAGCCTTGTAGATACATATAGATGTGATACTTGTTTTATTTAGTGAGGATAAAAACTAATTTATCCTTTCCCTAAAGGGTAGAGAGTCTCTTTCCAATTATTTGCTATTTTCAGGGAGTGTACACTGCTTCCTTAGGCACGTGTGAGAATTCTCCAACCAGAAGCAAACACAGCCATCAAGAGCCTTTGCCAAATGGGTCTTGGGCTTGTATCAAGTTATGCATAGCTTACCTCTTCCTTCCTTCCTTTTTTATATTGAGATTAAACCTACAGAGCACTGAAAAACATCCCTCTTAATTTTTTTTTTTTTTTTTGAGACAAATTCTTGCCAAGTTGCCCAAGTGGCCTTGAGATCATGATCTGTCTGCCTCATTCCCTCGAGTACCTGGAATCACAGACGTGCGCCACCCTGTCTGGCTCACCGAGATGTTTCTACCCCGAAAGCCTTGTGACTCCTTAACCTTTTCACTATCTTCTCAGGCATCCTGGTAGTGATAAGGTATTGTGACATTACCTTTTCCCTCGTGATTATTTACTTGTGTCTCCCTACCTTTTACTTCCCCTTTTGGCAGTAAGTTTTATTTGTTAGAAATGTTCTACTCTTACTGATTTGTAGGAGTTCTTCATACATTGTACATATTCAGTGTTGCCGTAACCCTTTGCAAATATCTTCTACGTGTTTACTTTTTTGTCACACAGCTATTTCAATCTTAATGTGTCACATTGCTAGTGTTTTAAAGGCTCTATTTTTTGTTTTCTGCTCTAAAATAATCTTAAAATGTTGTTTTGGACATATATCTGAAAGATAAGAATTGTCACATTAGGTCTGATGATTTTCCTGTTTATTGAGATGGTTATCTGGTGGTTTCTTTTTCAATTTATTTACCTTAGATTTACAGTCCTAAAATAGATCACACTTTAGTCATGGTGTCTTTGTTTTTAGTTTTTATCTTTATCTTGGTCAGAGTAGATGCTTTGTATGATTCTCTTCAAATCTTTTGAAATTATATATATATATATATAAAACTTTAAAAACATGCTTTTTCTTGAAGTGTCTATACATTTTTTGGCAATTTCTCTCTATATATATTCATAAGTGATGTTGATCTTTAGTTTCATTTGTTTGTTTGATTTTGAGGGCCAGGTTGGCCTTAAGCTCAACTGTGTAACCCAGACAGGCCTGAAACGCAGCAGTCCTCCTGCCTCAGCCTCCCCAATACCAGGATTAATACCAGGATTACAGGCGTGAACCACTGTGGCTGGCTTCTCTATTATCTTTCTCTAGCTTTGGTATCAAGGTAACGTTAATCTCATAAGATGAGTTAGAGAGTGTTCCCTCCCTTTGGTTTTTGCCAAGGGTTTGAGAAAGATTGATAGTAATTTTTTAAACGTTGGAAGATTTCACCAGTGAAGCCAGGTAGGCCTGAACTTTTTTTGAGAGGATTTTGGTTTCTGATTTAATATCAAAACTTGCACATTGAGAATTTGTGCTTCTTTTCAAGTCACTTTTGTTAACTTGCGTTTCCATTGAAGATAAAGCTGGAAGCGAGTTAAGGGGTGAGGACAGATCGAACTAACCTTCAGTTTGTACAGAGCTGTCCGGGAGGGGAACAGGGGAGAAAGTGAGCAGGTGGAAGAGTGCTCACTCAGCAGTGTCAGAGAAGTGGATGATTACAAGAGGCAGGCCCGAGGCCTGTGAAGCCAGCGGGGTTTGCTGTCCAGTGCTTTCAAAGTTGGGCTGCTCTCTCCCACAGGCTGGGAGCCAGGGGTCCGGTCCTGAGGTGGTGGCTGCGAGGGGTGGTGACAGCGTGGGCAGTCCTGAGTCTTCTCGGGCAGCTGCCTTAGCAGGGCATAGTGCCAAGAGGCCCTGAGCTCCTGGGAATGAGGTCGGACTGCCTTCAGATTTTACTAAGCCAGGGCTGAGGCCTGGATGAGAACAGGGCTCAGAGGCGCCAGGGAGAGTTGGTCACAGAGGAAGTCTTCACAGTTTCTCAGAATTTGCCAATTTCTTTTACATTATCTAATCTGTTGGTGTACAGTTATTCACTGTATTCCCTTATAATCCTTAGGTCACAATTATTGTTCCCATTTGAATTTCTTATGTTTAGCTATTTGTGTCTCTTTTTTTTTCATCTAAGAATGTGTCTGAAAAATATATTTGGATGATAACTTTGAATGATATTTTCAAGGCGTTCAGTAGATGTCTATTTATAGCCTGTCTTTCCTTTACTTTGTTCTCTCTCCATTATTCCATTGTCTTAGCTTTAGTCCACACTGCTTTTATTTCTCTAGCTCCTTATGGTATAAATCCTCTCCAGAAAAGTTCAGGCCTATCTGGTAAAATCTTCCAAACATTTAAAAAATTAGGATCAATCTTTCCTAAACTCTTCGCAAAAATCAAAGGGAGAGAATACCTTGGGTTAAGATGTTTTTTAATATAGGCATTTGGAGCTGAGCTTTTCCCTCTAACTACTGCTTTGCTAGGTTGCATATGTCTGTGTTTTCATTTTTGTTTCTCTCCAATTTGACTCTGATTTCTCAGTGATTTCTTTGTGGGCCCATTGGTTGTTCAGTAGTTTGTTGTGTAATTTCTGTATACTGTATTGCCTCATTTTAGTTTTCTTTCTGATTGAATTTCAGAGTCTTCTGTCCTCATTGCTTTTCTACCTAGATTTTTTTTCATTATTAAAAGTAGATTATTGAAGTCTCCAACTAGTATTGTAGAACTGTTTCCTAAGTTCTGTCAGTGTTTGCTTCACTTATTTTTGGGCTTCTTTTGATGTTCATGTTTATAGCTTTCCTCTTCTTTGGAGTAAGTGACTCCTTTCCTTAGTCTCTTGCAAGTGTTGGTAGAGCCACCCCAGCTCTTCTCTAGTTAAGTGTGTATCACATGAGTTTTTTCCCATCTTACTGTGTCACTATAAACTATTTTTGTCTCTGTGTCTTTAATTGATCCTTTAGATAGCACATGGTGAAGTCATTTTTAAAAAATCTTTTCAGACAATCTCTGACTTTATGTTTTTAAATTTTATTTTAAAGAGTATAAAACCAAACAAAATAGAATAAAGCCCATGAAAACAAAACAGTTATATTTATACAGGACTTTAAAAAAAGATAATAGGAAATCTCCAGTGGCTACCACAATGCCTCTTGTTATCTTCAAAGTAGCTGCCCATACCATCAGACGTAATAAAATCGAATAAAACAGAACAGAATAAAACCAATCAAAATGAAACAGTGAAAGTGATACAGGACTTCAAAACAGGATAATAGGAAATCAATACAATCTCGGACTTTAAGTCATGTGCTTAAATCATTTTAGTTTACATTTGAAGTGATTATAATAAAAGGTTTTTACCATTTTAATGTATTTTACATCTATTTTGTTTCTGTTCTTTCAGTAATTCTCCTTTGTGTCTGACTGACTTTTGCTAGTACTGCTTGTGTTCTCCCTTCTTTTCCTCCCGTATACCTTTCAGCTTGGCGATTACAGTCCATATCTTTACCCTGGAGATCATAGTTAACATTTGCATTAGTTGTTTTTTTTTGCTTCACCAAAATCCTGAAGACGTATTTTACAAAGAAAAGAGGATGGATTAACTCACCATTTTAAGGTCCAAGAGTCCAAGATTAAGTACCCTACCCTCAGTTTAGCCCCTGGCGAGAGCCTCGTGGTTATCATCCTAGGGGTGAAAGATGGTGCGAGCACATGGCACCCACAGTGAGACGGGGAATCAGGGACCAGAGGGGGAGCCGCCTTGGTCCTCACAGTGAGCTGTGTCCGCAGCCCTTTTATTATTTTTTATTTTGAGATATGTATTTATCCTCTGATTATAAGAGTATATGCTTCTAAGACTGTATTCCAAGCCATGCTGCTAAATATATGAAAAGCAGTGTAAACAGGACTCCTCACTACAATACTATTTATAATGAATAGCAAAAGACTAAAAGCCTAAATGAACACCCTGGTATTTCTGTGCAGGGAAGTTCTAAACAGTGATAAAAGGGAAGGAGGGTTATTTCTATGTACTTCTGTCAAATGATCTTTACACTATTATATACAAAAAAGTAGTGAAACTGTGTGTGATATGCCAACATTTGCTTTTATTAGAAAACATTGGGAGGATAAAATGTAAAGGTAAAACAAATGGTGATCTTTTAGTAAATAAGAGAAGGTAATGGAGAATGCAGAATAAAGATAGATTTATTTGAGACCTGGATTTTGGAATCATTTGGTGTAATTAGTAATGCAAGTCAGTTTTAGGAGCAACGATTAAACAATAAAAAACAAAGGAAACCTGTGGTTAGCATGTTCTGGCCACATGACAAGGTAATATCTGAGTTTAAAATATCACAATTTGACTATTTCTGGTGGGATGGACTCTAGGCCTAAAAAAAAAGATCAATTTTAACCTGTTTTCAGTAGTTTGTTTTTGTGATTGTATTGGCATTTTTATTTCAACACTGTTGAGGGGCACTGGAGTTAAATGTAACACATTTATATTGAGAATGATGGTTGTGGCATAGCGAAAAGAAGATAAAGATGTAAAATTGATATGGTTAAGTGAAAATCTTACAGTTTGCAATTTTGATCAGAAGCACCAATGTGAGCTCTTGATATGTCTCGACAACTGAAAAAGGATTAAAAACAGTGACCATCTAAATAGCAAGAGACTCCTCTTATCAAAAATGTATGTTTTCATTGAAAGGTGCCTGGGCTTGTTATAGAAATGAGAGATTCCAGATCTAAAGCTGAAAATCAACATGATGATTGTAGAGTCTTAAAGAATCAAGAAAAAAAGTTATCAAAGTCTGCTAGACTTCAATCAAAAGGACCCAGGTGTCACTTCAAATGTACTCTCCAGTGATGGCCATAATTGAAGCAGATCAAATGTGTTTTAAGTACATGGTTTGTAACGACTCACACACATCCACACACCAAATGGCACAGTATCTCATTAGTTGCTTTTGGAGAATTCTAGAGAATGGTTAAGTTTTGTATATGGATGTCCCCCAAAGCCTCTGGGGGTCATGGGGGTAGGCTTTTCAGAGTCAGCTGAATCTAGAGTTTGTGATAGGTTCATTGTCTGGTGCTGGGATTGGGGGCTTGAGTGCTGTGGCCACCCTAGGGCGGGTAGCCTGCATACAACGTAAGGGAGGAAAAGAGGCTTGCTGCTCTTTCCTTGCTTATTGCTTTTGCTGTTTTCTTTGAACTGTTGCCCTTCTGCCATGCCATTCTGTCTGGAGCCAGCTGATTATGGACTGAAACCTCTGCAAACTGTGAGCTAAATAAAGCTTTCCTCCTTTAACTTTGAGTTTTGGGTATTTTGTCCCAGCAACAAGAAAAATAACTAAGACAGGAACCAACTTTTTTTTTAAACAAATGAATGTTGAAGATTATATTTATTTATATTCCCCCTAGAGTACTAGGGATCAAACCTACGTGCTCTGTACTACTGAGTTCCATCTCAGTTCTTTTGATTTTGTATTTTGAGACAAGGTTTTACTAAGTTAACCAGGCTGGCCTCAAACTTGGGACCCTCCTGCCTCAACTTCTAGTAACAGAGATTGCCAGCTTGCACTCAACAGGCCCTATTTAACTCATTTTTAAAATGAGGGAACCAGCGAGATGTTACAAGCAGTTCAGAGGAAAATTCTAACACTGCATGTGTGTTGTTGGTAATCAGGAATGCAGAAATAAATTTAGAAATATATATAAATGAGTCAATATCCACAGAGGAATAATCAATTACATTGCACCAGGCCAAACTGGTTCATTTGTACTGTCAAGAAACATTTGCACCACTATCAGTGTCCTACAACTTGGAGAATTTTAAAATCACAGAATGATAATGAAAGGTACAAAAAACCCAGTGAAAGTTCAAAAAAGTACTCAGGACAAATACTTTTTGTTTTGTTTTCTTCATTTTAGCCTTTCAGAGGTTTTCCTGAGGGTCTCCTCACACTTGATCACATTAATCTTAAAGATAATCTAAGATAATCTTTGACCACAAAAAAGGACTCTTTAGACTTGACTTGTTTATTTACAAAAGTACATGAAGTGTGATAATTGGTCACATAGTCTGTTTTGTGTGTATTTTGTAAATTGAACACAATGTCAACTATTTATTTCAAAGCCTGGAGAGTAAATGAAAAAAATACAGTATACCCTACTTTTCTTTTATGCACTATGCCTTGTGAAACAAACAGTTGATGAGGGAAAGTCTCTGTTTAGATGTGTGTTCTCAGGAAGAAATATAACAGATAGGCTAGCACGGCTTTGGAAGCCCTAATAAGTAAGTGGGTATAATAGATAACAAAAATGGTAACACCTTTCTCCAGCATGCAGGAGCCCTGGGTTCAATCCCCAGCACAAAAAACGAAGAGCAGCAACAAAAAGGGCATTAGCATCACAGGAAAAGATGCAGTATTTGCCTCTCATTCACCAGACTAGGGCCAAATTTCTGGATCTAATCACCAAATTGCAAAAAAATACAGAAGCTAGAGAAACACTAACTGACAGATACCTCCAATCACAAAGTTTAGGCTGTAGAAAATACTGAAGAATTAATGAAGTAGTTTCTCCAACAAATTTCAGGGCCAAACCATGGAAGGTTTTTAGAAATCATAACTCATAACTAGTTGCAGTTATGGACCTTCATTTTGTTCTGTGTGATCATTCATTGTGTGAAACATACAGTTGGAACAGTTGAATCTTTAATTATTATTGACATGATGACAGTACTTTAATTGTGTTTTTAAAGTATCTTAATACTTCAGAAATAAACCCTAAGTTATTCAACGGGGAGATTAAATAAGGTCTTGTATTTTCTGCAAATATTCTGGAGGGGCCAGGCTCCCACAGGCTGGGTAATGAGTGTCTAATTGTTCATTGTACTGTTTTCTTGGGATTTTCATTTGTGAAATTTTCCATAATAAAAATTAAAAGAAAATAACTTAAAAATCCTTCTAATAAATATACTTCCTTCATTTGATTTTCTTTAATAATTTCTAACATTGCAGAGAGTGTCGAATGCTGGTATTTTTGAGTTTAGCTTCTAAAATATTCCTTTCATAATGGTTTTCAGATAATACCATGGTGGCATATTGACTTCATAATCTTTTTCTATTTCAGATAAAAGGAATTTAAAATGTTTTCCCTTAAAACATAACTGTTACTCATGTACATTTACTTGATCAACCAAAAGCTTTTTAAAAGCCAAGTCACTTATCTTTTAAACCTCTCCAAGTGAATAATCAATTTTTGTTTGGTTTCTTTCCAGATAACCTTTTTCATGCTGCTTTCTGCAGTGTGTGTGATGCTGAATTTGGCTGGTTCAATCCTTTCCTGTCAGAATGCTCAGCTCGTCAGCTCGCTAGAAGGCTGCCAGTTGGTGAGTATGAAATGGGAGCCTTTTCTCAAAGGTCATAAGCTTTGATTTTTGCATCGGAACTATTTTAAAAATAATTTTATTGTATTCTTGGCTCTGTTATCTTGTTGTTTAAGAAATTTCAGTGACATGGACTCATGTCTATAAATTCTCCAGTTAAACCTTGTTTTACTTGTAAATCCGTTGTTAATATTAGTCTATTTTTAAGGACTACAATGTAGTTCCATTTTAAAATAAATGTCTTTAGTAACATCAGTTGTGTTGATTTTTATTGGCATTGGAGTTTTAAAAATTATTTTTCAAGTCAGTTTTTAGTGCTATTAGACATATAAGCTTAATAAAGAGTGCATCAAAACAATATAGCTCTTATTTTTCAATTAAAATTTGTCTTTTAGATCTAGGAAAATCATAGGCAGTGTACTGTGTATGATCAATAAAAATTTGTTAGAAAATCTATAATAACATTATTTCAAGATGGCACTGGAGTCGTAGTTCAGTGATAGAGCACTTGCATAGCACGTACAAGGCCCTGGGTTCTGTCCCCAGCATGGCAGCAAACAAAAGCACAAACAACACAGAACCAACACAGCAAGATAGTTTAGCTCACAGTACGGAAAGGCATGCATCTCACAGGGAAAGAAATTCTAATGTCTGCGGTTGCCTTCAAGAATGAATCTACTTAAACTACTGGGCAGAGCCTGGCTCTTGGGCTCAGTCTTGGCATTTGTTTCTTTATCTTGGGACAGCAGCCGGCCGCCTTCACAGCCATGTTGCTCCACACTGCCCAACTCAGATTACTGCTGTTTCCCTGAGAAGTCAGCAGTGAATTGGCAGAAGCTTTCCTGCGACAGGGCCATGTCTCCCTGTCCGGTAGCCATGTTCCTTGGATTCCAAGAGGCAGCTCTCGGGAGATTTTCCGCCTCCCACATTCATTGTAAGAAGTCTTGCAGGACCAATATAAATGGCACAGGCTCAACGCTGAAGCTGTGCTAAGTTACATAAACTAATTGTTGGAACATAATCTTGTTATTTTCTGCTGAATGCGGCCAAAAGAAGAATTAATCGCATTTCATCCTAATATGACATGGGCAGAAGTTTCCAGTATGTGGTTTAGTCTTCCTGAATGATTGCTAAAAATGGACACAACCTGTATCTGTGTCTTTATCTGAGGGGTTGACTTTCTGCCCTGCTTCCACAGCTCGCTGAGAGGTCGAATAAAATACCTGGAGATGGTTGTGAGCCAGAAGTTTATTTCCATATTAACAGAAAAGGGTGGGGTTAGTTAAGACTTATTAACAAAAAAGTCAAAGTCCAGTGAAAGCAGGCTACACGGGACAGTTATTAGAAGGTCTGGAGTTGGTAGTTGAGACAGTAAGTTTCCAGGTTGCAGGAGTCCTGAGCTGGACAAGAAATTTCCATGGTCTAGTGGTGGTATTATAAAAAGGTCTTCCGGGGCTGGGGGTTTAGCTCAGCGGCATAAGCACCTGCCTTGCAAGCAGGCGGTCGTGAGTTCGATCCCCGGTACCGATAAAAATGAAAAAGACAAAAAAAAAAAAAAAAAAAAAAGGTCTTCCTAAACATCCTTTGTAGTGGCCAGACTTTCTATGTAACTACAGCATTATTTATTGAAAATCTGAGCCTTTTCCAGTTTTCTTCATACAGTTCTGGTTATAGCTCCTAAAAGTGGATTACAATGAACCTGTGTCTTCAGAACATTTGATGTATACTGATATTCTGCCTTTCTGGAAAGCTTACCCATTTGAAATTCAATGCATGAGAATGTGCTTCCTCTTAAGCCCATCCCAGCCCAGGAATTACTATGGGATTCCTCCTTCCCGTTCAGTTTCATTAAAGGGTTTGAGGAGTAATCACTTTACATCTTCCCTGAAGTTCTTAGAGAATTTGAATTCAGAGATGAATCCATCAAGTCCTGGACTATTTTTACTTGGTGATTTTTTAAAGAAAAAAATATTATCAATTTAATTTTCTTCCTGCTGTTATTCATAGTTTTTGTAACTTTGTGGTTCAGTTTTGGTAATTCATATGTATCTAGGAATCTATCAATTTCTTCTGATTTCTGCAAGTTTTTGCAGTATATGTTTTCTCAGTCATTATAGTAATCTTCTGGATATCCTACATTGTTATTTGCATTTCAAGTTTACCTTTTGAGATGCAAAGAAGTTTAAAAATTTTGTATATTCAAATTTATCAATATTTCCCTTTATCATCTTACCTTTGAGCCACACACAAGAAGATCTTCTCTTTGATTTTCCCAAGATCATGTTGCCCTAGTAATCTTGTTTTGGTGTGCTTTTTAAAAAATAGTAACTCTTTTATTTGATGAATTTAATTTTTCCTGCCTAAAGGGTTAATAGTTTTCCTAAAACCTTTTTCTGAGCATCTTAGTACTTTCTGGGTGATTTGAAATCCCAGCAAAATCATTAGCAGTCCTAAGAGACAGGCTGCAGAAACAAAGCCAAAGGCCTTTTGGTGTAAGAATGTTGGGGTCTACGCAGCTGCCAAAGGGTCTAGAAATTAGAACAGAAAGGGACTGGTGCTTCGGATGCTTCTGTGGATATAGAAGTCTGACTCAAAGTGATGCCTGTGTTGGAGACCTCATTAGGGTAGATTTCTGCAGGAGGGAACTAGTCCAGTGGCTCTTAACTGCTGCTTCTATTCGCTGTGGAGTCAGAGTCCAGGGAAGGAGCCTTCCAGAGGCCAGGGCTGGAGAAGAACCTGTTTACCTGAGCAACCAGACTAAATCTAATAGATTCAAGTGGTCATTCCCGAAACAGAGTTAAATGCCTTTAGGAAGGGTTGGGAGGCAGGAAGCAGGAAGTACATAAAACTGGGTAGTCAAAAACCACCCATGTCATTAATACACTCATGTACACACACAGAGTTCTCTTGATTTATCTAATTAGGGACAACTTATGTGTCCCACTTCTATGTTCATATATTAATGTTTCAGAATAATACTTCAATTCCCTTGCCTTTATAATCTATTTTATATCTGGTATAGCAAACCCTCTTCCAATCTCATCCTAGCCTTTTAATCAACTTCTAAAATATCTTGTCTATTCTTCACTGTTTAGTTTTCTAGACGAACTTTCATTTATCTCTGGTCAGAACCTAGAAGGAATACATTTGAGATTTGAATTGAAAATGTATGTGTAACCATGAGGGAGAGTTGCCATATAAATAGTGGCATGACTTCTCATTAAGAACATAGTATGTGCTTCGGTTTATCCAATTTTTAAAAATTTTTTCATCCCAGACATTTTTTTCTTTGAACAGCCAGTACATCTCCACATGGGTGTGTAGTGTTGTCTTTTTGTTCTGTGTGAGGGAAGAATTAACTAGTTTTATCACATAGAAAGTGATAGCTAAGCAAATCTTTTACTCACAACTTCAAAAAGTATCTCCTTTCCAGAAGTAACCCCCGCTAACTTTTCAATCATTGTTTATATTTTGTTTTTTAATACAGGGTCTCATTGTGTAGATCGCACTGGCCTTGAACTCGCTATGTAGCTTAGGCTGGTCTTGAACTCAGGATGATCCTCCTTCCTCAGACTCTCAAGTGCAGGACTGCAGGTGTGTGCCACCACACTCATCTCCCAGTTGCTTATGCATTTGTGTGTGTGGGTGTACTTGTGTCATTTGTTCCCCTGTTGGGGATTAAACCCAGGACCTTGGCACTGAACTATATTTCCAGCCCCTTTTTTATTATTTATTCTGAGACAAGATCTCACTAAGTTTCTAAATTGCCCAGGCTGGGTTTGAACTTGGTCTTGTCCTGCCTCAGCCTCTCAGAGTTGCTAGGATTACAAGTGGGATAAGAATATTTTTACAAACCTGGGGATCTACCCTATACATGATTACTTACATTGCTTTTGCTGGTCAGTCATGCAGCTTGGTGACGTTCCCTCATCCACCCTTGGAGATCTTCTGAACACAGCAGATAGTGTAGCGTTACACTAGATGGATGTATCTGTCAGCTATCTTATCTCTGAGCTGTCATGGCCAGCAACCACATGTTTTTAAAGGAGGAGAAATTTAATTTGATTCTCAGTTTCAGAGGATTAAGTCTGGGTTTACCTGGCTCCCAGGCAGAAATGTCAGGCCAGAAGAGTGTGACAGAAGTAAGATGCTTAGCTCATCGGGGCCAGGAAGCAGACTGAGGAAACAGCAGAGGGGAGAGAGGCAGGGGACATATTAGTGCTCAGTGTCACACCTACATAACCCACCCAGACGCTTCCAGATCTCCTAGGTGGTTCCCAGGCCAATCAGATTTACACAATTAAGTTTAAAAACTACAGTGTAATTTAAATAACCACTTGGAGTGTTTCTAGTCTTTTCTTCAGACAAACTTGGCAGAGACTATTACCCTTGGTGCACTTTCATTACTCAATAAATGCTGAGTGGCCTTGCCGCAGCTGGGATCAGACCTAAGTGCCAAGGTGATGAGAGTGCACAGGTGACAAAGATACGTGTATGCACACAGATCGTAGAGAAGAAAGTAGGAAGAAGTGGCTTCTCAGTCAGCCCGTGTACATATGCTTATTCTGACAGCAGGTGTAGTTGATGCAGGAGGATCACCAGGAGTTTGAGGCCAGCCAGAGCTCCGTAGTGAGTTCAAGGCTGGCCTGGACTACAGAATAAACTCTGTCTCAAGAAAAATCATAAACTTCTTCCTAAATGGCTTTCCTCTAACAAGCTGCCATTTAACATGTTTGCAGATAGCATATGAGTGTTCCTGATTGCTCAGACTCATGTAAACTCTTGTATTATCAGAAGTTTCTTCTTGGCCCATTGACACAAAATATGTAATTTTAATTTCTTTAACAAAAAGGGAAATTGAGCATTTTTACATTTGTTTATGTTACTTAAATTTCATTGTCTGTTCATTGCCACTGTTTATATGTTATCCATTTTTCTGCTTTTTTTCAATAACAGATATGTTTTACAGTTTGTTACTCACATTTTTACTTTTTTAATGTTTT